TTGTTGCCCATATGATAAAAGAAATATCCTAGCTAGTTAACATAACAATTTGTCATATGGGTTTGATCATCATTGGATTATAGCATTTATCATCTAATAAATTAGGGATAATCACAAAGCCTATATATATAAACCTACAGTGATGTTATGAAAGACATCTTTGTGTAGTATTGAATCCTAATTAACCATTTTTAACTGTATGAAAAGGGGAGAGTGAAAAATTGCCAGAGATTGAATAGGGGATAACAAGTCCTAGAGTTTCTTATAGTGTTAATTTATTAAAAAGTTTCAAAATTTTCTTTACGTTGATTCAAATTTGGTTTTCATTGAAAGACTAATAAATTGAGTTGGCAAGCTCCTCAAGACCTCATGGTATACATTTGACTATCCACACTTTATTTTGAGCAAATTAACACGTTTTTCTAATCATATGTTTAATTAATAGGACACATTAATTGAAAAAAGTTATTGAATAGAGAGATCTCATAAAGAATGGCATATCTAAAGTATCCCTAAGTATTCTAACAACAAAAAATCTTTCATTTTTATTCTTTTAAACTTTATATTATTATTCTCATCAACCTGCTTATTATTTTAATCTATCTTAACAGCACACTTTACATGCATCCAAGGAGAAGGTCCATTAAAAAAAAAAGAATAAAAGAAGAGAAAACATTGATAAGTACTTAATGACCACACTACGCCGCTGGCAATAAGTTCATTATTATCACTTTTATGACCATAACAATAAGCGTTGAAGTCAACATTTAATGACAAAATTTGTAACCCTCATTATTTTAGCGTTATATTACCACATACTAATTCACTTGTAGACTATAAACAAAGTCTCATAATTAAGATCGGAGGTAGTATAAAAATAATGAGTACTAAAATATGAATATATAATTGATTTATATACTCCTATTTAGTATGATAATGGAATTGATACAGAACCTTGGAGATGAAGCTTTTTTTTAATTAATTAATTAAAAGATGATAAATATATTAATTAATTAATTAATTAATTAATTAATTAATTAATTAGGCGAGTCGCATGAATTTGCAATCACGCAGCCTACTAGACGTGGCGGCGTAGATTAGCACCACACTGCGTATTCAAACTAAATACGAATATCCATTCACCAGACGCTTCTCTAACATAAATATCCTCATCTGCATTAGTCACCACTCATGTTTATCTTCTATTTATGTTATAAATACAGATAGAACTACATATTTAATTCTTTAATTTTAGATGAAATTTTATTTTGATATTTTAATTTTATGAAGTATTTTTCAATAATCTATCCATAATTAGTACCCTTAAAAATATTGACATTGAAATTTTAATCATGATAAAATATTTTTAAATGCTAATGAACATGTTAATTTTTTTTTAAATAACAAGGATCGACTTATGCTAAAAATTATTGTTTGACACCAACCGTCTCCAAATTAAAGGATTAAAAATATATATTTTTAAAAATAAAGAGATCCAACTGATATCTTGTATATATAGTTAAAAGATTAAATGTGCACTTTTGTCTATATAACTTCTCAATGTAAAATAAAGCTATGTTTAAATTCATTGCAAATAGTAATAACTTCTTTTTTTTAGGAATTTTTTTTTTATAATTTCAAGTGGGCCAACCCAACTCAAAATGAGCTATCATTTTGTTAACCTAGCCGCAACTTTTTGACGGGTTGCTTACTTGAACTTGTGATTCCAATTCATATTGTTAACTCTTATTCTAACATTTATTTAGGAAGGAATTAAGCATAAAATGGTTCTAATTTATTCCAGCACAGTTTATACTTAGCTGAGTTTTCTAAGCATCTAATCAGGAATTTAATCACTGGTGATGTGTATGAAGAGTATTTTGTGACCAACACTAAAGCCCATTTATAGAGTTTACGATGCGACGGGGTTAGCATAAAAAAAAAAAAAGGAAACTCACACAGCTTTAATTTAATATCATAAGAAGGAACTTTTTTGCCAAAATTAGAGGAAAAAATATACCAAGTTTAATTTTGACTCATTAATATGATGATTTAAGAAATAAATCAAACTGTAACGGCTATATATTGTCAAATTTTCTTTTGATAAATTCATGTGGTGGTTATTTTTGTCGGCAGAAAAAAGAAAAGAAGAGATAGATTAGTAATCAGAGTTTGAGAAGATGCATGCATGAAACCAGAATTTGAATTGAATAGTAATGAGAGAAAGTGTGATAACTGATAAGGAGAGGATGAGAATAATTGAAAAGATGACTCCTCACACACTCACCCTTGCATGGCCTCTACGTGTATTCCTTTGTTTTCTTCCTTCTTTTTTCTTCCTTTTTTCCATTTCAATCACTCATTTTCTATTCCAATCAGTGTGGACTGCTTTTTCTCTATCTATCTATCTATATAGCTTATACGCTAAGGGAACTTTTTCTACTTAATAATATAGAGTAAATAAAAAAAAATATTATGCATATTTTGAACCTTTTTAGTTTTTATACTTATACTTTATTTCGTGTTTTTTGATGTATTATATTCTACTAAAGGCAAAGCTCGCATTTCATCTCCTACCTTTAGTTCCTAATATAAGAACCAATTAAAAATTGAGTTTAGGTTTAAATATAAAATTTTGATTCATTCAGTCACTATATTCTTCATATTTTTCAAACTACTCCTATTAATGGCAGATGTTAAAAGAGTTTGCATTATGAGTGCTATCGATTTAAATGGATATTTTATAGAAATTAAAACATATTTTTGACAAATAATTTATTTAACTAGTTTTCTTAGTTTATCTCAATTAGTTAAGTATATCTTATATTATAATGACTTACAAATCAAATTGGCTTAATTATTTTTGTTCGATCTTGTGGTTCTAGATTTGGTTTGTTTTTTCATTTTCTTAAAGAAAATTGTTTTGTGAAATCATTTGTCTAAAAGTAAAATTTGAATCAATCATTTACAGTAAAAGTGAAAAATGATTTAATTTGTCTCAAATACTCATTCTCCTTCAAAATATAAGTATCAAATAATTAAACCATACAATTCAAAAAATTGGTTAAAGACAATAAATATGTAAAAAAAAATTCCACTTATTTTCCTGAAACTCCCTTATTGATAGAGGTTGAGCGAGAGAAAGAATAAGTGGAAAAGAGAGATGAGATGAGAGGGATATATAATTAATTAAGCATAAAAATAAAAAATGCACTAAATGATGAAACAAATTCAAGTTGTAACTCATAAAAAAACCATTCAAATATTTAGTGCTCATATTTTAAACCAAGCGAGTAAGCTATAGTGTCCAAACCATTTGGATGAAAAAAAAAAATCATATTGAAAACAATTATTTTTAATTAAACTCGATAATATTTGAATATAACTTAATAATGTTGGATAAATATATAAGTACAAATATTATTTATAAATGATAAACAAAATGCTTCGAGTAATATCAATTTTTAATTAATTTCATATTGTATATTTACACTGATAAATGGAAAAAAGTTTATATATTTTGTTTTATTATTTACACGGGCAGCGCCCCCCCCCCCTCCCGCGGGCCCCACTAAACGGGTAGCTCTGATCAAGTGGCACACAAAATAACAGGCCCCAAAGTCCTTAACCAACCCATCACTCTCTTGTTTGGTTTCCTTATCCCTCCAAATTGCATCATCCTGCCTAGCAAACTCGAGAATGGCTCCTTCGTTTTTAAAACTTTGACAAAATTATTGAAAAATTTCTCATTAAAATATTTATCATCTTTTCTTGGACTGAAACAAATATTTATCATCTAAATTTATCTTAAATTTGTTTAGAACTCACGTGTAATTTTATTTTAGTGGGTGCAATTTTTTTTCGTTTATTTAATTCTGTGCAACCACATTTGCATATAATTAAAAATATATACAATTAAAAAAGAGTTACATACATTGAAAATAAATTTTACTGCTCAATTAAGATGTCTTTAAATTTTTTTTTTTCAAATTGGAACTTTTTAAAAATTTTCCTTTAATTTTTCATATTCACTTAATTTGTTGAAATTTTATAAAATAAGATCTGATGTACGTAAAAAATTCCGGAATTTGAACTCATATCAACATTTTCAGCCGACCTATATCAAAATTGTGATTTTAGATATCTTAGTTTTCTTCAACTCGTTAGCGAGAATAGATGTTATCACTTCTCAAAAGATTAGATGAAAAAAAATAATTCCAGAGGTAATTATACGCTCCCTCATTTTTAATTTAGTATCTGTATATTCTTTTCTTAATTAAATAATTAACTTTGCTCTTTTATCACCCTTAAACTTTATAAGATATTGTTTGCTACTTGGAGGGGAGGGAAAAAAATTTTAATAAGCTTTATTTACTAAAAAGAAGAAGTAATATAAAAAATAATAAAAATTAATTAAAAGTTTTTAGTCCCATTTTTTCAATTTTTAAATTGAATTTATTAAAATTTTTCCTTCCCTTCTTTCCTTTCATTTTCCTTTATACCAAACGGACCCTAATAGTATTAACCTAGCAAAGCTCAAATGATTATCAGTGCTAACAAAATAAAACTAAAAGAATTAATTAAGAAAGAAAAACATATAGGTACTAAATAAAAAAAATAAAAAAGGGTTTTCCATTAAAAATTATGACATCTATGCTGAAAAAATATTTCATATATTTATAGATGATAATATTTTTGTTGACATTTGTGCTTGTTAATAGTAATGGACACTAATTAATTAAATAATAAATGAGGAATATTTTTATTTCTATGAATTAATTCATTAATTAATAACATAAAACACGCGTCTACATGAGGCACACACGTAAATAACAAGAAAAATCCTTTGGCCCAAAAAAAATAACAAGAAAAATCCGAGGGGTCATTGACACAATACCTTAAAGTAGATACCCCAGACTGAAAATATCTCGCTGTTAGGTCGTAGGCCCCTCATTTCAAAATTCCTATAAATATATATCTCAAGTTAAGCTGGGTTTGCCAAACCAGATAGCCGAACCCGGCTTTTTCAAAACACCAAACACTTCCCTCCGTCTCTCTCTCTCTCCCCCTCTCCCCACTATCTCTGGCAAGTCTCTCTCTCTCTCTCTCTACTGTAACCACAGACGAAAATGGCGGCATCTTCTAGAAAATCGAGCGGACCAGTGCTCCGCTCTCTCTCTCCTTCCAGCAGATTCTACAATCGTCACTCCTCTTCGACTTCGTCTTCTTCTTCCTCAGCTTTCGCATCTTCCACCTCCAGCTTCTTTAGCCGTTCCATCTCACCCACTCGTGTCAATCTCTGTGGTCCATCTTCCTCGGTTCCCTCCGTTCGATTCTCACTCGACCGTTCCACCTCTCCGAACCGCTCCATCTCCGTGACGCCTCGCGCCGGCGCCTCAAGTTCTGGCCAGGCGGTGAAGAGGCAGAGCCAGCAGAAGCGAACCTGTATGTGCTCCCCTACCTCGCATCCTGGTTCCTTCCGATGCAGCCTTCACAAGAATTTCGGCTCTAATTCGGTGGCTCCGTATTCGCCAAACAGGCTCAACGCGCGCAGATCGGCGATGACGAACTCGGTGGTGAGAATTGGCGGCGTGGAAGGGGATTTGGTGAAGAGGGCCTTGGCTGCGTTGATTCGGCCGTCGTCGCATCAGCAGAGAAGGCGAGCGGATTTCCGGCCGAGACCAAGTAGGCTTTCCGTCATGTCCAAGGCTGAAGATTCTTGAGCAGTGGCATCGGTAGCTGCTTATTGATCCCTTCGATTCCTTCAACATTCTCGGAGAGTTTCCGGTCGAGAAAGTTGGCTTCAAATTCTGGCTTTGAGATCTGACATATGCAAGGAAGAGATTCGGCACGGACCTTTTTTGTTTACCGGAAACCGAAATCCGATAGAGAACTGAATATTATATATATATATATATATATATATATATATATATATATGCACATTATGTCCATACATATCTAGAACAGGTAGTAGTCAGAGTCAGGGACTGCTGTTAATGGTGATCCTGGGAGCTTTTGGACCGAATTCCATCTAACCAATTGTACATAACTAAGATTTTGTTAAAAAAAATTTAACTTATTCTGACATAAATTTACTTTGATCACTCTTGATTTGATTTCTCTGTGATCTTTCGTTTCCTCGCCACCTTTGGCTTTCATATTCATTGCTGCAAATGCCCAGTAACGCTCTTCCTCATCCGGTTAATTTTTCTTTTCAATAATTCGTTTCATATATTTCGCTGATCAATTTGCCGTACGTTGGTGGTGTTTTTGGTTCGGGTAGTTCATTGAATTTGGGGGATTTGGTTGAACACTTAATCACGTCCATATTTCTGTGAATTGATCTGCATAGCCGACTGTTCTTTTTATTTGCTGAGATTAAATAAAATTACTTACTATGATTTTTGATATGTTAATATTATTGATTTTAGATTAGTCGTCTTTGTTTTGCAGGAGATTATAATTTGCTGATAGAGAAGGACAGACACAAGGGTGTGTTTTTTTTTTTTTTTTTAAAAAGGTGGGGCCCAGTCTCCTAGGCCTTCCTCCATCAGAGATGCTAACCATGAAGGTGCAGGCTTGTATGGCGGTGGACTGGTCTGAAAAATACAGTTTAGAATTGAGCTGGAAGGAGCAGACAGAGAGGCCAAAGATAGAAAATGATGGAACCTACCAAAAGAAAAATGTAAAAAGCTGAAAAGATTAACTAAAAGATGTTGATAAATTGTAAAACATAGCAAAATAAAGATTTTGACATGTAAACAGATAGCAGCGCAGCTAAAATCATGTCCCAGCAACTCTCGCCACCTCTCTTGAAAGAACATATTATTTAGACAACTTTGATTCAAAGTCGAAAATATATTGATTCTTATTTGAAACAGCAAACTTCATTTCAAATTTAATAAACCATGTCTCGAGGAGGACGCGTGTGTGTGTTGTAAAAATGTCCCTAGCTTATCCAGTTTTATATGTGTCGGGTAGTGCAGTACAGTTAAAGAGCAACTGTGGAGTCCAAATTGGATTCCTGCAGTGTTACGAGACTTTTGAAGACTCGTAGATGTGTGAGGGGGTCACTGGGGGAAGAAGATAAGCATAGATAAGATGGATGAGCTCATGAAAATGACATATGTGGGTGGGTGTCCCTCAGAATCAACCCATATCCAATCGCTCAGAGTTCCAATTCTCTAAAACACTTCATCATTATGAAGTAAACCCACAAGAGAGAAAATATGAATGAAACTACAGATTTCACTTCGCCTTGTGAAATACTTCCAGATATCCCAAGCCACTCTCCACCATGTTCTTTATTTCTTCTCTTATACCAAAACCAGAAACGAGTGAACACATGAAAAATAGAACTATTACTGACCGTCTCAGGGGCATTACTTTCTGCAAAACCCACCGGGGTTTTTTTACAAGGTACTTTTTTATTATAAGACCTAATTATTGAGTTAGTTTTGATCCTAAATATAAGATTTATTTTTCATATTTATTAATTTTTTTCTAAATTATCCGTAGTAATACTCCCTCAATCATAATTAAATGGGAGAGGGAGGAATGATATTAAGGAGGATGATTATGGTGTTTTAAGAAAAACATATTATATTTTTATAATTAACTAACTTATATAATTTTCTTAATCTAATCACATTAGTTAAATAGTTTTTATATTAAGAACCGGAAGAGTATCACATAAGATATTTACTATATTTCTTATGATCCTTATCTCAGAGGAACCCCACCTAGTAGAAGTTTTGTGCGCTGAGCTGCTATTTCTATTATCCTTATTTAATGTCAGTTTATTTAAACTTGGCTATTTAATTTTTCACAAGATGGGTTTAATAATAGTAAAGTTGAACATTTTGTTAAGTTGAAGAGTTTTAAATCTTTTGTTAGTTGTGGCAAAAATACTAAAAATGATTTAGGAAATACTACTTCTGATTCTTAATATAAAATCCAATTGACTAATTTGAAAATATTAAAAAAGTTACTAAATTAATTAATTATAACATATGGTATACAATCTCTCTAAGATACTTTTGTGTATTATTAAATTATATGTCAATTTATAAATGAAGTTAATTAATTTGAAAAAAGAATACAAATACTTAAAATAATTTAATAATTTTTTTAATATTCTCAAATTAATCAATCATATTTTACATCAAGAATTGGAGGTGGTATAGTGCAAGTTCTTCCTTTGCCGTTGTGTCTTGGCCTTCTTTAAACCGCTCCCTCATATCTTGTCTGTTCTTCACAGCTTCATATAGCAAGTCCCTATGTTCATTTTTCTAAACGCATGGCCAAATTTAGTTACTTTATCAACACATCGATATTTGGATTCGGATAAAAATTAAATTATAATTTAAAGATAATTTTATAGTATATAAAATAAGTATATAAAAAAAAGGGTCTTAATTTATGTAAAAATATTTTTAAAAGTGTTTTTGTCTTGAACCAAAGAAAAAGAGAGGATCACTTCTTATAGGTAATTAGAACAAACATCATCATCACTCGTGTAATTAAGTTGTTGACAATACAGTTCCGCTGCTCCCTTCTGCCGTTGCCTTAGGTTTCAAGTAATTATATGTAATCCAACATCATCAGCTCAAATCAGGAGATGTTAATTCTTACAACACTCTAGACAAGCAACAAATGATTTTCTGGGATACTGCTATTCTTAATTTCATATGGATTGGGATTTTATTACGGCCATGGCAACTGCTAGATAGATCTCGAGATTTTTCTGTTGAAATTTTTATAAAGATGTTCTGTAAATTTTCGTCTTGAAATTGTACATAATGAAGGTTTGTAATTTTTTGAGTATATACGACTGATCATATCATTCTTACAAATTGCCAAGCTTTGTCCCAAAAGAAAAAGCTATGGCACTATTGATGATGACATGCATGCTTTTCTCCATTTAAGGGACTGCCGTTTCGTGAAGCAAAAAAGCAAAATTTAAATGTTGCTTTGACTGGGAAAATCCCCACTTGAAAGGGCACTCTCATCTTTAACTAAAAGCACTTTCAACATTCTCATGTTTGAATCACATAATTTCAGTTCTCGTGTCATTATTTTTGTACAGTTGATTGCTTTCTTTAAAACATGTCTCTCGGTCATGAGGGGATGTGGGCCCAGGCTCCTAGTGGGATCCACAGAGACCGTCAAAACTACTTTTGAACGGTTACAGAATATAAGGTAAGTATGTGATAAGAGTTTTGAAAATTTTAATTATGATCCTAAATAAGCACAAAATGTTTTACTTTCTGCGAAGACCAAAACTCTTCATTTAATTTGAACAAGTGATTAGAGGAAATTGCAGTTTCTTTTACTAGAAATTGAACTCACATACAAAGAGTGTCATGTTTTATTGTTGGGTTTGATTGGTAAGTTTATAATGAACAGAAGAGTGAGACTTGATGGATATGGATGGCGCTTGAGAGTTCAATCTTTGACATGGCCATGTGCAAGTGTCTCAACAATGACTGAATCTTTTTTCTTCTCTTTTGGGAAAATATCTAAGTATACTTTGTTTATTAAACTATTAGATTAATAATGCTAAATTGTATATTGATTATTTATAAGTCATATATAAATAGTCATTGAATCTCGATTAATTGTTTATTTAATTGGTAGGATTATGACAATTTTTATTTATATGCCAAAAGTTTGAAGAAATAAATCTATAAAAGTATAAAAGTTCAATTATTGCATATTATTTGGAAAAAAAATTATTGCATATTATATCTCCTTGCTGAATTTTAGAGGAAAAAGATTAGTTGCACATGTTTTAAGGTGAGAAATTTTAATTTTATGTATTTTACAGATATAATATATATATATATATATATATAGAAAGATACAATTTCTCTTATTTTTTTAATGAATAAAACTTAGATCAAGTTGATTATAACTATCATATCAAGTTATTTATTCGACAAGATGTGACGGAAAAACTTGAAATTTAAACCAAGTTTTTCCCCTCTCTCTTTTTTCAATATGTGTAATTTTATAAACAGAAATTCATGGGTTATTTTTCTTGGGGTGGGGGCAGAGATAGGATGGGAAAGAAAAATCCTTATCCTTAATATAAAAGCAGACTAGTTATTTTATAGATATTTAAGAAATTAGTTAAGTCAATTTTTTTATAATAAATGAGTCTTGTTTTATTTAAAATACTCTTATTAATCGTGTATATTGAATCTAAATCTTTAACACATATAATTAGCATAAGAATTATTTTAAAAAAATATAAAAATATAAAAAATAAAATGAATCGAAATATTATATTTATAATCAAATTAAATATTTAACTTATTACCGGATACAGTGGGACCAAGCATGAGATAGGAGCGGGTACAATGCACAAAAGCATTACATTAACATTATTGTATTTTGGTGGTGGCTATGAGTTGGCAGTGATTGTGAAACGAGTCATTCCTTTGTTGGTTAGCGGAAGAGGCTGTGGATTTGGTTTTTGTTTTGTTTCTTCATCACGCTCATTTCTGACTCACTAATTCCTTTGTTTTTTTCCCTTTAACTTCCCATGTATTTCATACATGTCTCTATGTTGTTTCCTCTAATTATTTGCATAAAACTACTTTTTATTAATAGAATATCCTTTTAATATATCCTATCAATTAGAATAATCATTATAAATTTAGAAGACAAAATATATTAAAGAAGATATTAACGTCTTATATTTAAAAGTAAAATAAACTCTTCAGTTAACCCTTTCATTTAGTATTATATTTGGTAGAAGAAAGTTACAATAGGAAAGATTAGATATATCATCAATCCACCAAATTATGCTCATGAGCAGTTCTTTCAATAGGCAAAATAGAGGCAAATCTGGCTTTTCATCTCTGATCTTAGCTAAAAAATGATCAATACATGTTCAATAATAAAATGAATGGTAGAGCCGTGAAGGTAATGATTCTTTTTTTTAGCCAACCAAGCATTGTATTTTTGCCACAGTACAAATTTTAGTTTCCCTCATATTTCAATTACTATTAATTATTATCTGAAAATGGGATGAAATTGTGGTTGTTTACTGTACTTGTTTAGGTTGTATTTGATTCTCTTGTTTATGTCAATCAGCCTTGTCTGTCTTGTATTCCTTTTTTCATTTTGCTAAGCACAAATATCTTTCTATTAGAAGTAATTTTACTTGAGACACTGTTAGGTACTAAATTTTTTTTCCTTAAAGTATAGATATTCTTCTATTGGAAGTAATTCTATTTAAGGCACTGTCGAGCACTAAATATAGGTACCTCTCCTAACAGGAATTCAAACCTTAGTTTGTCATGTTATGAGAAGTTAAGCTTAGTTTGCCATGTCGTTAACTACTAAGGAGGTGTTTGGGTGATTGCCCAAACCATAGTTTGGGAAAAAAATTACCCAAACACCTATCAATTTTTTGAAACCATGGTTTTATGATAAAACCATGGTTTGCCTATCAAAACCAAAGTTTTGTAATAAGCAAAAAATTTATTCTTTTTGAGCGGTTCTCCCCCCACCCCTACAGTAATTTTTTTTTGGTTGAAAACAATTATTTATTTTTCTAAAAACATAATCTTATATTTTATAATTATATATACACATATTAACAATTACTACATCCTATTTTTAATATAAGATTTTATTTGAATTTTATTTGGTTCTAAATATAAAACCTCAATATACTTTATTTCTCATTTTTGTCTATCATTTTTCAAGTTATAACCAATAAACTTGATTAATAGGGATATTGTAGGAAAGACAATACTTGTTTATTACAAATAACTAACTTAACTTTTTTTTAATCTACTCAAATTAGTCAACTAATTCTTACATTTAGAACTGGATATAGTAATTAATATATGTTTTTATACATTGTTTATTATGTTGGCAAAAAAAAATTACTAATAAATTTATTACTTCAAATAAACATATATTATGAATATATCTGACATGTAATTATCATTTAAACTTATGTCCTTTTTAGTAATTTCTACATATCAAAAAATACTTATAACAATAATTATCCAAACACTCTTACTTTATCAGAATCACTTTTTCAAAAAATCTATTCTTTTAAAATCTATTCTCTAGAAGCTATTCTCTAAACTATGATTTTGTCTCATCCAAACACTCCCTAAGTATTTAATAAGAAACATTTGACATGTTTTGTTGTTTTCAAGATCATATTTGTTTTCGCAAAACATGATTTATGGGCTTTTGAAGTTGGGCAATTAGGCCCTTTCATTCCCATGTAAAACATAAAGATAGAAATTGGCTTTCAATTTTAAGTTTGGGTTGATGGGTTGTCCAATGGGAAGTTAGTTGTAAGTGGGTCTGTTGGACTTGGGTCAAAGGTGGAGAAACGAAAGTGTTGCTGCGTCCAAGGTTCGACTTGAGAGGTATATACATGTTTAGTATTTGATAAAGGGTCAATTTGGGTCAGCGTTTGCTAACCCAAAAGCAGTTTAAATTATAATATAAGCTGGGTTGAGCATGTAAGTCTGTTTGGGAGAGCTTAAAACCTATTGGGTTTACTTATTTTTTAGGCTACTGAATGCTCAACGAAAATAAATCCCAGGCAGGAGCTTATCAATTATTTGAGAAGAGCTTATAATAAATTAGCCGTTGTGCGTGTCAGGCAAATGGATTCTTTTTTTTATCTCCCATCCAGCTTTTCCCTCTCACGAGCGTCACTGGTCCTTTCTTTTTCACCCGCAAGTCCCACCTCATCTCCGTCAGTGGTAAAAATGAGTCATTATATTAATATAATAAAGTTTCACTTTATACTTAAAATATTTTTTATGATTTCTCTTAATTTTAATTCACTCATTAAATTTCATTTCTTCATTATATTATCTCAATTCTTTTTTTTATGTTTCAATTTATATTTAAAATATTTTTTTATGATTTCTTTAAAATTTTAAAATTTAATTCACTCATTAAATTTGATTTCTTCATATTAAATTATTTTAATTTCATTATATTATGTGAAATCAATTTTTTATCATGTTTCATTATTTATTAAAACTCATACCTATTTTGGTAATTTTTCAGTCAAACTTACTTTTACTCAACTATAATTCAAACAAGCTTTTACTAATCTCACTTTTGTAAACTAACTTTTCTGAACTCCAATCCAAACACAATTCAGTTTATCCAGTTTAATTTTTACTAACTTTACTTTTTCATAAACTACTTCTTCTATAAGCTGTTTTTCCAATTGCTGATCCAAACAGGCACAATATCTTCAATAAGATTGTCTCTAAAAAAGTAGCTATGAAAAAAAGTGCTGCTGTGTTGCAATTTTGAGAAGAGTGGGCCTAAGCTACATTGCCTTAAAATGGGTAACCAAACATATCATACTTTAAGTTGGGTGGGTGAATGAACTAATATTAATTAATGAATTAATTAAGTAATTAATCAGTAATCGTTTTTATTTGACATAATTTGGCGTAAATTAAGTGGAAAGTGGACTAAATGAAGTGGTGATTGGTCACATTTTTCCGTGTAATTTGGATTGAAATGCTTCTCATTTGAAGCATCATATCCTAAAATTCGATTCTTAATTAAACTTAGCACCATCTTTCCTATAAACACAATCTGCCTATGAAATAGAAACCCATTACTTCAAACGCACACTAATTTCTTGAAATCAACCATTAGTGGAACAAAACAAGAATGCAGAAACCTAACCCATGGTTAAAATTTAAAAAAATCAGAAAAAAGAAAAAAAAAGTGTATCCATCAGTATCGGTCATGTTTGATCAAAATATTATTTATGAACTTAATTTTTAATCTGATTTTCCTTAAAAACAATTTCATTTGTTCCTTTTCTTTTATTGTATAATAATAATATTTTTGTCAATATATTCACTTCCATAATAATAATAATAATTATCACAGATCAGTCAGAATTAACCTGTTCTTTTCTAACTTCTACTTTCTTGTTTGTGCGAATTATATAATTAGGAGGGAAAAAGGCTAAGGTGATTGATGCATGCTTAATGATTAAGGATTGTTTTTAGCCAAAATTAATGATTAAAGTGTCAAAGGAACTTAGGTTTTTGGACCCATATGATATCTGAGTTCGTGCACAAAAATAAGATGAAATGTATTGATGACTCCTTCACTTCAAATTTTAAAAGAGTAATTGTTGGAGCCTAAATTATTGTTGTCATTTAATATAAATAAAATCGTCAATCATTAGAGTAAACTGGTCATTATATGTGTATCCACACACGCACACACACACATATTAAAACTTGGTAGTTATCTTGTATAATATTTTGCATTATATTAAGAAATATTAGTGGTCTAATGGTCGTAAAAAGCTTCAATGACAAACAGTAGAGGATTTTTTTTTTTACATAAAAACAATTAAGTCATTTGATAAAAAGCTTACTTTTTTTTTTAAAAAAAATCCCTAAGAACTTTGTAAAAATTAAATTATTTCAAGAAATATTTTGATACATTTATATGTCGGCAATCCCCACATGTGCTTTCCCGGAAGAATGATAAAAAGCTGAAAGCACTTGAGTAAGAAGACTCTTCCTGGCCCACACTTGCTGCTGCTAATGAAGACAACATGCAATAAACTAACTTAAAGAGATAATCTTTGTTTTGTTTCTTTAAATCAACGTGACATAATGACATTCATAATAAATAAAAAAATTATAAGTTTTAAATATTTAACAATTCTACTTTAGCATAATTAAGATTAAGAAAACAAGGTTTAGAAATAACATTAATATTAAAGGCTGAGAAATTATGAATAAGGGTAAGTATATCTCACTCACAAATAATTCATATTTGCACATTCTTGTTTATAACTTAATATATTTCCAACCTTTATCTCTGCATGTTCAATATAGGTCGCTAATTTAAATAATCAAGAGGTTCATTCTGATACATCTGTGATTCATTTAATGCTCAGCCATTGAGTAAACTATTCCATCCATGGTAATGATCTCCCAAAATAAATTAAATTAAAGCAAAGCTGTTTTCTGACCCTTTCTTTTCTGTTTGTGCTGATTATACTTTAAAAATATTTTTTTTAAAAAAAACTCAGAGATGGGACCATGCTTAACGATTAAAGCAAGTTATTTGTCGGACCCATATGATGTTAGAATTAAAATATCTTGGCTCTTCATCAAAATAGTCATTCAAATTCAAATTTGGTATCAGTTCATATGCACTTCAATTAATATAAGACCCCGGTTTTCTTTGTCTCTTATATTTATTTTGTCCCTAAATAATATTTGTGATGATTATATATATTAAATTTTTTTTTATTTTATGAAATGGTAGTTTCAATGCACAATATTAATATAATATTTAAAGTAAGATAATACTACCTCCGGTCCTTGATATAAGACCCTGTTTGATTTTTATTTTGATTCTAAATATAAGACCCCAATCCACTTTGTCTCTCATATTTTTTTTTTTCTAAAGTAGCCCTTCTAACAATAATAGTTCTAGTCAATACACTTGATTAGTAAGAATATTTTAGGAAAGACAACACATATTTAAGACAAATAACTAACTTAACTTACTTCTTTAATCTCCTCAAATTAGTCAACTGGCTCTTATAATTAAGACCGAAAGTAGTATTTATTTATTATAAATAACTAATTTAATTAATTCTTTTAATATCCGTAGATGAGTTACCTAAGTTTTATACTTCTCCAGTATTTAAGGTCGGCAAAGAAACTGTCGCATGCCTTTTTCTTTGCCGACCTTAAACAATCAATAGCATTACTATTTTCCCCAGTCAAAATGTCACAGTTGAGATTTTATCCTGTCTCACTTCATGCTTTGTTCTATTGGTAGATTAGGCAAGTGGTGGATCAGATATTTTGCATTTAATCTTGAGAAAACGAGACGTACTGAGAACAGTTTATAAAAAGTATCATCTTTCTATAAAAGTTTAGGTTAAATTATATGAAATTACTTAAAATTTTGATCCATGTGCAAATAATCCTATTGACTTTTAATACTCCTTCGGTCCTTTATATAAGACCTAATTGTTGAGTTAGTTTTGATCCTAAATATAAGACCCATTTCTCATATTTATCAATTTTTTTCTAAATTACCCCTATAGATACTCCTTCAATCATAAACAAATAGAAGAGGAAGAGGGGTATTAAGAAAGATGATTAGGGTATTTTAGGAAAAATGTATCACATTTCTTATAATTAACTAACTTACCTAACTTCCTTAATCTAATCAAATTAGTGAAATGGGTTTTATATTAAGGATCAGAGGAGTATTTGACAAAGAACCTCACTAAACTTTTAAGTTTGCGCAAATATTCTGCACAATTAACTACTATGATTTTTTACCCATTAACGGACTGTAATTTATTACTACTTCCTACTCAAAATATAAGAACTTGTTTGTAACTACAAACTCACTTTTATATTTACAGTCGAAGGTAGCATTAACCAAGTATCCTATTAAACTGCGTGGTATTTTATTATTTTTCATCTGTAGATATGTATAGCAGCACTTAAACTTTCAGTCATAGTAAAAAATTTCTATAAACTTTAAGTGATATACAATTGAATCCCTATCATGTTAAATAGTTTTAGGGTTCCAAAAATTTCCTTTCTCGATTTTTAGTTGAACCAATGGACTCCATATGAAATATATATTGATCTTTATTAATTGATATGTTTTCTTCAAAGATTTTTTTAAATTATCTTCAATTTCAATTAAATCTCCTTAAATCTCAATCCATATGCTCTTAAGCAAAATCCCTACCAATAGAAGAAATCCTTCTATGTGTATATATACACATTTATGGAACCAAAATTTATCTTCTTCTGCCAACAAAAGTTAAATATGTAACTTACTACTATTTTTGGTTTTTAATAAAATACATATTTAATTAATTTCAATAGGTTAAGAAAATTAAATAAATTAGCTAATTATAATAAATGTAATTTGATATTTCTCAACCACATGTGTAACATTGAATTATATATTAATTTATAAATTGGTAAATTAATTTGAATTTTTAAAAAATTAATTATATATTAATTTATAAATTGGTAAATTAATTTGAATTTTAAAAAAATAATAAATTCGAGAAAGACAATAAGTTAATAATATTTTATATTTAAAATTAAATGTAACATTCTAATTCTTATATTAAGAAATAAATTAATTGAAGGAGTATTTACTGTAGAGGAATTTTGTTTATCAGGAGGATAAAGTTCTCCCTAACCTACGCGATAAGCTAATTGTGGCCATACTACAATCTCCTAAAAATCATGGAATCACTGAGGTGACGGTGGCTTGATGGGATGCTCCTCGTGACTCCATTAATTAAATAACCCAAAAAATAAGGGATATTATGAAATTTTATGCAGAAAAAAAATGAATATATAGGTAAAATATTTATTTATATCTTTAATATTTGTAATGACAGGCTTTTATAATAATAGTCTCATATTAGCTCAAAAGAAAAATTATCATATTGTAAGAAAAAACCAAATCACGTAGGCAAACATAAGGGTACGTTGTGTTCCCTGGCTCTTACTTCGGATCAAATGGATTTAACTACACATGACCGGAGATGAGGCCAAATCAAATGAATGAAGAAAAAATATGCTGGAACTGGTAATTAGGATTCCTTTGCATGTCATATTATTCATATATTCAACTTAAAGACTCAATTTTTTTTCGTTAGACATTAATTTAAATATCACTTTCTCTCTATCAAAGACACATAAAAATCCTTATTTGCAAATGATATCTAGACAAAATCAAAGTCCTATGTAATAGGAAAAACCCGGATGTACGCCGACCTTAGTCCAAATGGCAAGCGCCAAGTCACCCTCTATGTCCACGCGCTGACTCACAAAACTCGCCACCCCTCTCTCTCTTCCTCTCCCTCGCCTCTTTGTTCATCATAACTTTTATATATCCAACCTTTCACCTCTGTTTCTTCAATGTCACTAGCTAAATCATCAAGAAGTTCATTTTGATATCTGTAATATTCAGTCATTGGATAACTAGTCCATATCCATGTTGATGCTCACTCAAAAAGGAGGGTCAAGGCCTCCATGGGTTGGTCTTGGAGCTGCGGTTTGGGTTCAAATCGCAGCAGGAAATGCGTATGCTTTTCCTCTCTATTCTCACTCGCTTAAATCCGTTCTGGGTTTTAATCAGCGTCAGGTTACTTTGCTTGGTGTTGCTAACGACTTTGGTGAGAATGTTGGCTTGCTTCCTGGAATTGCCTGCAACAAGTTCCCACCGTGGCTTATTCTTTTGATCGGTGCTTTGGCCTCCTTCTTTGGTTATGGTGTTCTGTGGCTTGCTGTTAGTAAGACTGTGGAGTCACTTCCTTACTGGTTGGTAAGTTCTCTGTTGCTTTTTGGCGCACCCTTGCAGTTGTTTGATTTGATGATGAACTGTTTTATTTAATGTCCCCCTTTTTGTGATTTTGATTCGTCGAAAACATCCGTTTATGTGATCTGATTTTTTTTTTTCCTAATTATAATGATGAAGCATTGAAGATATTGCATTTATTTGCATCAGATTGCAAGCGAATGAATGAACTGCACTAGTTTAAATATATGTTTCCACCGATGTGAATTCTCACTGGGTATTTCTAATTGATCAATTTTAATTAAATTTGCATTGGATCACTGAATTTAAGTTGATCACTTGTTGGTTGAAGTTATTTGCTTGATAGTCTTTAATTTACGCATGTCTTCACTAATATGCAGAAAAAAGTTCTGTAAAAAGTCTAAGAAAATCTCTTTATAACTTAATCATGGTTTCATTTTCCGGCTTAAAGCTTTTGAGTAGAAGATGTCACTGTCACTCCTTGTATGATTAAATGGTCTGGAGGTTGATCATAAGCTTTTTAAGTCAAAATGATTCTTCTTAATACGAATTTATTGAAGTTTCAGCGTTGTTTCAGGAATGCATTACAAACTTGATTGATTTTTGTGATGTTTCGCAGCTATGGATTGCCCTCTCTATTGCCACTAACAGTAATGCATGGTTAGGCACTGCTGTTCTTGTGACCAACATGAGAAACTTCCCTGTGAGTAGAGGCACAGTTGCTGGAATTCTCAAAGGTTATGGGGGTATCAGTGCCGCAGTTTTTACCGAAATTTACAGCATAGTGCTTCAGAACTCTTCTTCTCAGTTCCTCTTGTTCCTCGCCATTGGTATTCCTGCCTTATGCTTCAGCATTATGTTTCTCATCAGGCCTTGTACTCCAGCTACGGGTGATGATTCTGCAGAACATGGTCATTTCGCTTTCGTCCAATGCTCTAGTGTGGTCTTGGGTTTATATCTTATTGCAACTGCTGCATTTAGTAATGTTCTGCCCTTAGGCGGTACATCTTCCTATATTTTAATTGCCGTGATGATTCTCCTTATCATGGCTCCCCTAGCAATACCTGTAAAGATGACATTGTTTCCTAGGAAATGCAGCAAACCAGAAAGATCTAATCCGCAAGTTGGATCATCAGAATGCCTAGTTCAACAAGGCAAGGATGAAAAAACAGAACCCCTCTTGCCATCTTCAACTTCAGCAACCCCTGGGAGCTTTTATGACACTGACGAGTCATCTGAAGTGGCTGTGCTTCTTGCTGAGGGTGAAGGAGCAGTGAAGAAGAAGAGAAGGCCCAAGCGAGGGGAAGATTTCACATTCATGGAGGCTGTTATAAAGGCTGATTTTTGGCTCCTGTTCTTTGTTTTCTTTGTTGGGGTTGGTTCTGGTGTTACTGTTCTCAACAATCTCGCACAAATAGGCATTGCACAAGGTGTGGAAGATACCACAATCTTATTGTCAATTTTCAGCTTCTGCAATTTTGTGGGTCGCCTCAGTGGAGGAGTTGTTTCAGAACACTTTGTGAGGTCAGTCACATCTATGCCTGTTAAGTAAATTTAACAATTATTTTCAAGCTCATATCAGTAACACAGTGTGAGGTTTCAACATGTACTTGAGCTGTTCAAAAACCTCCTGATATCTGTACAAGTCATTGTGTCCTTAGAACATTACAATCACAAGACAGAGTAAATTATCACTTCTGTGATCAAACACATCAAGTTTATATATGAATAAACTTTTCATGTTCAAATGAACCTGGTAATGAATGATCTTTGTGCCATATAAATCAGCTTCTAAACCCACAATGCCTGGGGGCAGGGGAGTTGGTTGTAAGTTCGCAGAACTTCTTAGTCTGTTGTGAAGTTGCATCGTGTCAGTGTTTCCTCATTTAATTGTTTTATCTAATTTTAACCATTTACCACAAAGGGTGTCTACTTAGGTGGCAAATAGAGAAGAGATTTCTCTTCATTAAGTCAGATTCTATTAGGAGTAATAAAAGAACAAAATTTCAATTTTACTAGGCTAACATGGGGGAGTGACCATAAACTTGTTATAGCCATTCTGATTATATCCTATTTTGTCGATACAGGACGAAAACGATCCCCCGGACATTTTGGATGACATGCACACAGATAATCATGACCATCTCATATCTAATCTTTGCATATGCTGTGAAAGGTACTCTTTTCTTTGCAGTTGCATTACTTGGCATCTGCTATGGCGTGCAATTTTCCACTATGATCCCCACGGTCTCAGAGCTTTTCGGGTTGAAGAACTTTGGTGTGCTCTACAACTTCATGTCATTAGGAAACCCTCTTGGTGCATTCCTTTTCTCAGCTCTGCTAGCAGGGCAAGTATATGACAAGGAGGCTGCAAGGCAGCACCATGGTCTAGACTTGCTTGATTCAGGAGCCTCCTGCTTGGGACCAAATTGCTTCAGACCAACCTTCTTTGTTTTGGCTGCTGTTTCTGTTCTTGGCTCCATCTTGAGCATCATCCTTAGTTTCAGGATAAAACCAGTTTACCATATGCTTTATTCTGGTGGTTCTTTCAGGCTGCCTCAAACCACAGTTCACTAAAGTAATTGAGACACGTCACCCAAAAAAAAAAAAAAAAAGTAATTGAGACACAGGTTCAGCATTGGATCAATCAGAGCAATCTACAATTCCTTCAAGAACTGTGCTTCCTGCTCTGCCACTTCAGCCTTATACACACATATAAATCTGGGTTTTGAGTTTTGTTCTGGGAAAATGGTTGTTTTAGTATGCATCTTATGCTAAAAGATGGTCCTCAGAGGGGAATGGATGTGATATGCAGACTTGAGGAGTGTTAACTACCAGTTACTTGGGATATTTAATATATTTATTCAGCCTAATCATACAATCACTGAGCTTTGGACATTTTCGTTGTAACAGTTGAGATTTTAGGTCTTTGCGCAATAAATCTGAGTGTATACGGATTTGATGCTGTACACAGTCTTTTGGTGGTCAAAATACATGAGATATGACTATTACTCTCTGGAAACTTAAAAGGAAAGTGCAAATAGAGAAGACAAAATAAAGCATTTGTCCATGTTTGACTCTTTCGGTGCTAGTTATTGTTAATATTGCTTTAAAAGAAAAGCTGTCAGCTTTTGTCTCTCGTCAAGGGCACACAAAGTAGTCTTTAGATGGCTGATGAAACTTAGATGTCTGAAGTTTTTTACTTTTAGAAAAAAGAAGGAAGGAAAGAAAGAAATAATCAGATAATGACCTATGTGAAACCTTTTCCCTCTTTCTGGAGGAAATACCAAGGAAACGGTTAGGTTCCTCCCATTAATGAATACCTAACGAGCCAGTCACCAACCATAAAAAATACACCTAAAAACATTTTTACTGATACAAATTGACTTTTTCTGAATCGAACCAACCGTTCTCAGCGCGGCCCGCCTCAACTGAAAAGATGTTTTTGACATTTTATATGTACAAGTGAACAGAATAAGCAAGAGAGAGATATGAACCAATACAAAATAACCACGTAATTTCATATCCTCCAAGTAATAATCATCACTGCCGCTTGCTTCTGCTACTTCTCCGTTGCTCTGACCCTGTAGACGGATCTTGAAAAGAGGAACTGTCTCTCTCTTCCTGTTTTTTTAACAAAAATTTGACTTTTCTCTGAGAAAGTGGGCAACAAACAATCATGTTGGTTTCAAATCCTGGAACAAGGTAGGCCACAGTGTGTGATCATCCTCATCAAAATCGAAATCACTTTTGGTTTTGTTCAAGTAGGGACTGAAACTCAAGGGGCTTCCAGGTCTGGCATCTGAAGGCCTGCTCATCCTTGGGCTCTTGCAGTCCATCATCACCAATCTTGGGTCCAGAGGCCCAGAAGATCTTGGGCTTTTAACCGAGCCCATCATCGGCTTGCCGCTCACTAATGGGCTCCGATTTGGGTACAGTAGTCTCTCCTGCTTCTTCCCATCAAGAGGCCCAGAAAGCCTCAACACTTTGTTTGTATTCACCGCCTTCTCGTTCATCATCATCCTTCCATCTAGAGGCCCAGACAAAGCTACCCTTCTCGTTCTATTCATGGCGGGCAGGGGCTTGTTGATGTTGTTGTTCTCCTTCTGAAACTCCTCGCTTCCATATTGCTTTCTCTCCATGGCGCCTCGCCATTTCTCCTGGTAGTACCAATGGGGTTCTGGGCTGGGTGAATCCTTCTGATCTGAAGGAGGATCTTGTTCTCGGAAAAGCACAAACTTTCTGAGGCATTTTCTCATGTAGTTCTTGATGACCCCGGAGATCTTCCTGGGACGATGAAGGCGTCCATAGTCGTGGTGGGCCAGCTTGAGGATCTCGAGACGGTGCTTGGCGATGGAGATGCCCATGCTCTGGAGGAACTCATGGTTGAAGAAGGAAGCGTCTTCGAGCTGGAGCTGGTTGCGGGCGAAGGTGACGCCATAGTCGTAGATGAGAGAAGGTTCGAGGTTGGTTCTGGAGAGCCAAGAGAACCAGTCCATGGGAGGTGGTGGTGGGGTAGGGTGGAGGGGGTGGATGAGGGTGAGAGATGAGGAAGAAGGAGGCATAGTGAAAGGGGTTATATAAGGACAATGAGGATAAGGAGATAGAGAGATGAATGGATGGATGGGGAATTCAGAGAGGAAAGGGAACTGAAGGGCATAAATGAGGATGAGGATGGGTAAATGCGGGGGATATTTATGCAGCAAAATGAAGCTGAAGGGGGAGGTCTTGTCAGGTAAAAAAAGAAGAAGAAGGAGGAGGAGGTTGTGTTTTAATGGAGGTTTGGAGGGTAGTTGAGGTTGAAAGTGACAGGGGAACATGATATTGTGTGCCAATATATTTGACATTTTTGGCTTCTGGCCTTTGTTTTTACGGAAAATCCTATCATATCATTCTTCATACGCGCTTTCCTATGAATAACTGATATGTGTGGCTACTGAAAAATTTAAAAGAATAAAATGGTGTGGTCAAGAGTCAATAAGACTAATGGCCCCAGCACTAAACGATGATTAAATAATGTATACTTTAGAGAAGAGCTTTGGTGGAACAAGAGGCCTGTTTCTCCGATCACGGGTCTGGCCAACAAAAGAGAGGAGGGAAGACAAGGGGCAAGATTTTAAGATTATTGTACGAAGTATACAATAATCTTAAAGTGTTCTTGTATATTAAAACCAACTTTAAGGGTGTGTTTGGTATGAGGGATTTGGGAGGGAGGGGAGGGAAGGGGAGGGATTTTAATCATTTTCCCTTGTTTGGCAACACACAAATTTTAGGAGGGGAGGGAAAATTTTTTAAAATTTCCCCTCCCCTCCCCTCCCTAACCTCCCCTCCAAAATTGGGAGCATTTGGAGGGAAAGGGCAATATTTTGTCATATTATGACCATTATGCCCATATTTTGTCATGTTGTAACCATTATGTCTATATTTTGTCATGTTGTGACCATTATGCCCACACCTTAAATAAAATAAGAGCAAAATTATCCATATTAAAATGTTTTTCCCTCCCCTCCCCTCTTTTTTTATAAATCCAAACAAAATAATATTAAAATCCTTCCACTCCCCTCCCCTCCCCTTCCTTCCATTAAAATCCCTCCCCTTCCCTTCCTCTCATTGAGCCAAAGTTGATCTAACACGTATGAGGGGTTTAAATCTTAGTCTTTATATATCTAGCATTCAATACGTCATTCTGTTATTGGTGAAATCAGCTCCTTGTGTCTTGTCCAAAAAATAATGTTCTAATTCAAATCTTCGTAGAACATGGACTCCTAATTTATCCTTAAAATCTCGCCCCTTAAATTCCACGGTTTGGGTTAATTAAGAGAAATACAAGGAGCGAGACCTTGCCCACAATATGGAGTTTAATCAAATCAAAAATACAAAATAATCCTTCGCAATCTGCATTGAACATAAGTTCCCTTAGCTTGTATTTCATCACCACCAATCTGTCCCTATGAACACGTTGTCTTATATCATCAATGATGTTATAGTGGTGTTAATAGCATTGTAACATAGTACTAATATAAAAACATCTTGATAAGTGATGTTGTGGGATCTATTCTGCTTGTACGATGTTTGGATACTTTTAAAAACACTTTTTAAAAGTAATTTTATACAAGTCAAGACAAAACTTTTTTTGTATAGTTATTTTGTACGCTGTAAAATTACTTTTAAAATTATGATTTGTTGGGTAATCTTACGGAGATAGTACCTATTTGTAATATTAAAAAACAAAAAGTCATTATGGTCAGCATGGGAAAGTGTCATTTTCGCAGAGGGCAAAGGGAAGAGGGTGGGGGTGTTGAGGATGGTCCACAAGCATGTGACACAGTGCGTAAGACAAAGGGACCATTAACAAATAACAACGGAAAGTAGTTATTGCAAATCAATTTGGTAACCTACTTCCCCCCCGATTTGCTACTACCTGTCTCTGGGCAACCATTTCCACTAATCTCCCACTCTTGAATTGTTCAACCCTCCCCCACTTGGATTCTCATATCTTATACAGTTTCTTAATAACCCTAATTTTGTCCCAAAACAAGTTTTATATATTACCATTTACTATTTCACTCATTTTAAAAACCATGATATATATATATATATATATATGTCATTTCACTTATAGTAGAAGAGATCAATCAATCCTCTATATATATAGTCATTTTTTCATTGCAGTGTACAATCTTCCTCTATACTCTTTTGATCATTTTTTCAAGATCTTGCTAACTACTTTCACGACATTAAGAAAATTAATTTAATATAAAAAAATCGTCACAATTTTTTAAAATGATCCCTCTTTCAATTAAAATAGGTCATTTTGAAGGAAACAACGAGTGCAAAAACCATTTTTTAAGCTAAGAGTAAAAGAAATAAGTTCGGACGCGGTATTTTTGTTTTTTTGGCTCTATCCACCAATCCAAATTGATCCAAAAATATAAATTGATCCAAGCATGGACCTGAGTAGTAATTTTGTAGGAAATTAAGGTAGTGTTTGTGGTGCGGGAGCATCCTTATAGAAGACGCAATAAGAGCCACAAAAATTTCAAAGAAACACGATAAAGTAAATTGGGAGGCATAAAGATTAAAGGGTAAGTAACACTGTAACTGTGATGGCCAAAAAAAAAAAAGTAACTCTGTAACCATGAGAAGAGGTAGGAATCAGTGTAAAATATCTTTTTTCCCCCGGGGGGGACACTATATATACATACATATATATATATATATATAAATATATACAGTGAAATAAATGAGAAGAACAAATGAAGTGTAAACTGCATTGAATTCCAAGGGCTGCAAAATTCTGCTTTTTCCAACTTACCTGCATGCTTTAATTAAATGATAGGTAGAGATGGAAATCAAAAAACAGGTGAGCCGCACAGAAATCACTTTGCACTAACTATATGGTCAATGTTTTATGTAACGGTTCTTAATATAAGAGTTAAATAATTAATTTAGAGATATTAAAAAAATTATTTAAGTTGTTTAATTATAAAAAATGTGTGTTGACTTCCCTAAACTACGTTCTCTAATCATGTATATTGAAATAACCTTTTGATAGGAACCCCGTACCATTAATAGGGATACTTTTAGAGAAAAAAGCTATTAATTTGGGTAGACAACATATATTGAGGCCTTATATATGGATCAAATCTAACTTTCTAATTAGCTTTATGTTAAAAATCAGAGGTAGTATAATATTATGGTAGATGCTTGCAATGAATGTGTTCATTCAAAAGGTGTGTGTGTTCTGTGTTGCATCAGTCTCTGCTGAATGAATGTGAATAAAACTGTGATAGTAAGTCATTGGTTTCATCAATTCATATACATCTTTCACTTCATGCAATACAACTTTTCCGCCATACTTTTAACAATTACGCAAACGTTCTTTTTCTTTTTTGGTTTTCCTTCAAAACTTTAGATTATTCTTAATTTGTGCAAATTTCGTGTGTTTATGTATATAGACATTTTCAGTGTTTGTAAACTCTTCTCTGTGAGTAAATAACATGCAATTATGGGATTAAGAAAAACATGTTATTGAATGTGTACGTCTCTCCCACTCTCTTTTTCCCTTCTCTTTTGCCCCTTTTTGGTTTGGTTTTAACTTCTATATCCATCAATTATAATGCTAATTGATAATAAATGATTGTTTTTGTTTAGTTGGAAGACATCTGCCCCACTCTTTTATTTGTATGATCATGGAAGAGCTAATTAAAGAGTTTATTTTAGTCATAAATGTAAGATTTTAATCCACTTTATTTTCTAAATTTATATTTCCCCCTCAACTTATCCTTATTCATTGAACATATAAAGAAGATTCTATCAAATAAATAATTTCCAAAATGATGAAAGAGAATATAATCTATATTTTTAGAAAATCAACATACATACATACATATATATTATATACAACTAATTTAACTAATTTTTTTAATCTCTGTAAATTAGTTATATGCATCCTATATTTAAAATTGGAGGGAATATATATAAACCTTACCTAAATTTTGTGCAACATACATACCTTACAACTACTTTTCACTCATGCCAGAAGCCCCATGTCTAGTTTGCGAGTGTGTCAACAAGTTGAATAGTAAATATATCAATCAATACCTTAAATATAGGACCCAATTGGAGAGTTAATATTAATTCTATATGTAAGACTTATTTAACATGTTCATCATTTTTTTTCAGATTAACCCTATCACTACTACAAAAAAAAAAAATTAATGGCGGTTAAAATGAGCTTTTCACGGTAGTTTTGATACCGACGTCTATGCTATCGACGTAAAATGTAGAGGATTTCATAGCGGTTTAAGAACTGACGTGGTATGTGACTTTTCACGGTGGTTATATAAATAACCGTCGTGAAAATTTTTTTTTTAAGTCTACATTTCACCCTACTGATCAGGATAGAACGGGAGAACAAAGCCTCAAAAAAAGTCTCTCACCAGTTAAAAGCATTCTGATGGATTAAACATAGATTCTTTCCCCCCGTAATAGCGTCACTTAGCTTCACCTTTAGCCACCTGATCGAAGCTACTAAGATTTAATAAAGATAAAATCAAAGACTCAGATCTGCTAAAAATCAGATTTTTTAAAACTCAGATTAAATATCATATTTTTAACCAAAGAAAATAATTATATCAAACTACAAAAACTATGAAATCCACAGAAAGAATGGAGGTGAAAAACTCACAAATAAGAATAAAGAGGATGAGGCGATGACGACGGCAACAGCAACAATGACGGTGATGGAAGAACATGGCGAAAATGATAGAAGTAATGGATAAACACCGACAAATGTAGGAGGAGGGAGAAAATCAAGTGAGGATAATATGAGGGACTATGAGCTCTGACTTTGAAAAGTGAAAACTATCACGCGATGGATTTTAAAATTCTAATAGACTTTTTACGGCGGTTATTTAAAAAACTGCTGTTAAAAGTATTTTTTACGGCGGTTATTTAAAAAAACCACCGTTAAAAGTATTTTTTACGGCGGTTTTAAAAGTACGCCTATAATTACAGAAATGCCATCGTCATATTTTTTACAGTATTTTTTCTAATAACTGCCGTAAATTAGCATCTTGAAAACTCTTTTTTGTAGTAGTGTATTGATATTCTCTCAACAATGACCAAGTAAAAGAGGGAGGAAGGAAATTGAGAAAGATGCTTAGAATATTTTAGAAAAAACATATTATATTAACTAATTTAACTAACATTTTTAATCTACTTAGATTATTTAATTAGATTTTACATTAAGGATTGGAGTAGTAAATATCAATCAAGACCTTAAATAGGGTTTTTAATTTAGAGCCTTGGGGATAAAAAGGTAATAACGGAAGAGCTTTCTCCCACATGGGAAAATCTCAATCAACACATACGTTCATATGAATTAGGAGAGCAATTCCATATGCCTTTGCTTTAATTACTCAAATCAAGTGGAGAAGGATTTGGTGGTGAATATAATGGATCAACTCGAGAAACAACAACAACAATAAAAATAAGACTTATCCCACTAGATGGGGTCGGCTACATGAATCACACTACGTTATCGTGCTTTATTAACAACCCAGTTCTTAGATATCTTATTGACCTGGAGGTCTCGTTCAATGACCTCATTGAGCATTCTTCTCAGTCTTTCTCTGACCCTTTTTGTGGAACTCCATATTATTTGATCTACCCTTCTCACCGGGGCCTCCAATGGCCTTCTCTGCACATGTCCAAATCATCTTAAGCAATTTTTTCAACCATTTTCTCTTAGATAGGTACCACACCGATTCTTGTTCTGATATTTTCATTTTGAATCTTATCTTTTCTTCTATGACCACACATCCATCTCAATATTCTCATTTCTACTATCCCAACTTTGTGCTCTTTCTTATTTTCTCTTTATCGCCCCACATTCACTACCATACAACATAGTTGGTTTTATAACAGTCCGATAAAATTTTCCCTTAAGCTTCTCAAATACCTTCTTATTGCAAATAACTTTGGTAGCCTTCCTCCACTTTAACCAGCCAACTTGTATTCTATGAGAAACGTCTCCATCAATTTCCCCATCCTCATGTATAATTGATCTTAGGTATTTAAACTTTGATACTTGAGGAATGATTTGATCCCCCATCTTCACCTCTAAATCACCATTGCCTTGCCTCCTCCAAAAATTACAATGCATATATTTTGTTTTGTTCCTACTCAAATGAAAACCTTTCGACTCCAAAGTCCTTCTCCATAACTCCAATCTAGAGTTAATCTCTTCTTTTGATTCTGCCATAAGGATTATGTCATCCGTGAAGAGAATGGATTTAGGGATTCTTTCTTGAATAAGTTCAATTAGAACGTCCAGAACAATATTAACCAAGTAAGGACTCAAAGAAGATCCCTGATGTAGGCCAATCTTAATGGGGAAGTCCTTTATCTCTCCTCCAGGCATTCTTACACTAGTAGTTATCCCCTCATACATATCTTGTATGGTTTTGATATAAGCAACCCGTACACTTTTCTTTTCCAAAGCCTTTCACAGTACTTCTCTTGGCACATGATCATAAGCTTTTTTCAGGTCAATAAAAACCATATGTAAATCCCTTGTTTTACTCCTATATCTTGCCATTAAACCCCTTAATAAATAGATTGCTTCAGTTGTGAATCTCCCTGACATAAATCTAAATTGGTTCTCTGAAATAGAAGTCTCTGACCTCAACCTATATTCAATCACTTTTTCCCACAACTTCATTATATGACTCGTAAGTTTTATCTCTATGTGGCTTGCATAGTTTTGAATGTCTCCTTTATTCTTATAAATAGAAACTAAAGTGCTTGTCCTCCAATCATCCAGCATATTCTTAGAGTGTAAAATTTCATTAAAAAGCTAGATTAGCCACAATTCACCCTCATCGCCCAAACATTTCCAAACTTCAATAGGAATACCATTAGGCCCAACAGCTTCACCATTGTCCATTTTTTTGAGAGCTACCTTAACTTCTCTGATGCGAATCTTACAGTAAAAAACCAAATTCCGATCATCTTCGTTAATTAGCAAGTCCTATAAGTCCTAAATCGCGTAATCGCTTCCCTCATTAAACAACTTGTAAAAGTAAGCCTCCCATCTCTTCTTAATATCACCGCCAGTAACTAACACTTTACCATCTTCATCCTATATAGACTTCACTTGGTCCAGATCTCTCTTTTTCCTCTCCTTTTGCTTCGCAATCTTGTAAATATTTCTTTCTCCCGCCTTTGTTCCTAACTTCTGATAAAACCCCTCATAAGCTTTAGTATGTGCTTCTCTTACTACTCTCTTCGTCTCTTTTTTAGCCAAACGATATTTTTCCCGATTTTCTACACTATTGCACAAATGTATGATCTTAAAACAATCTCTTTTCTGTCTGATTTTCTTATGCACACTCTTATCTCACCATGAAGTCTCCTTATCTCTCTGACCACAGCCCTTGGATTCTCCCAAAATTGCTTTAGCTACCATACGAACTCTTGTAGTTATCTCTTCCCACATCATGTTTCCATTTCCCTGTAACTCCTAGATCCCCTCCTCCAAAAAGGTCCTTTTGAATAGCTCCCGCTTCTCACCCTTTAATTGCCACTACTTAACCCTGGGTTTTACCACTTGATGATACTTTTATCTGATACTCTTAAAACGTACATCAATGACAAGTACTCTATGTTGGGTAGTCACCCCATCTCCAGGAATCATTTTGCAACTAGTACACAATCTTCTGTCCGGATTCTTAACCAAAAAGAAATCAATCTGTGATTTTGAGGCACCACTTTTATATGTGATTAAATGCTCCTCTTACTTCTTAAAATAAGTGTTAACAATCTTGAGATTGTATGCAAGAGAAAAGTCCAGAATAGATTGTCCTCCGTTATTAAGCTCTCAAAAGCCAAAACCACCATGAGCCCACTGAATTGTCCTACTTCCTTGCCGACATGTCCATTAAGATCCCCATCGATAAAATTTTTTTTCTTTGAGTGATATGCTTTGAACCAACCCCTCCATATCTTCCCAAAACTTATCTTTAAGGTGTGCCTCTGCCCTAACCTAAGGTGCATAGGCACTAATAATATTGATAGTATCCTTTTCAATAATTATTCTTAAAGATATTATTTTGTTCTCATACCTTTTAACCTCCATCACATTCTTTTTCGATGTTCCATCAATGATGATACCAACACCATTCCTTGCACTCACCTTTCCTGTGTACCAAAGTTTATACTCTCCAAGTTCCTTGGCAACTTCTCCAATCCATTTGGTTTCTTGGAGGCACAAGATATTAATCCTTCTGTCCCTCATAAATCCTACAACCTCCATAGATTTCTCATTCAACATCCCAATATTTCAAGTGCCAAATCTAATTTTGGTCTCATGAGCTAACTTCTTTAGCCGCCTCTATCTACGAGAGTGCGGCAGCCCTTGCTCATTTAACACTACATCCTTGCGATGATGCAGCGGCTCTAGCTCACTTCTCACTATACTCGAACTACACAGTGCATCGCTTCTGGGCAATAACCTAGCATTACCATGATTTCTTTGTTGATTCATGTTCATGAGATTCGACGGGTTTTTACGTTGGCTGTCGAGGGCCTAACACAACCCTCCTCTTTCATCCGAGCTTGGGACCAACTATACAATATAGGTGGAGTTGGATCAACTCGAGAAAGACTCAAAATATTGCAATATTCAATTGGAGGTCATTATCCTCAATAATTGAAGCGTCAAGATGTTATCACCCACATGAAAGAAACAAATATAGAACCTTTTTTTTTTAAATTTGAAAGTTCTAGAATGAACGTAGCCCAAATTAAAAGTAAAGGGATTGGATTAGGTCTTAGTAAAAGGGATTTTTGACCGCTTAAATATAAGGTCTCGAGTTTGAGTGTGTGTGATTGTAGAAAAACATATTTGAAAGAGTTACCCCTAATTAAACATGACAATATTTAAATCTAATTAGGTGAGATAACTATGTGTAAAAAAAGGTAAAGGGATTGGATCATTGAAAGACCAGAATAACATGGTTCGATTTGGTTACTCAATTCAGAGAATTCCAACGTGGTTATAAGGAAGAGATATAATTACTAAAAGTTTCAATGACAAATGTATAGTTGCCATTTGCTACACTAAGATTTATCATTGTAAGCTGTTTTGTTATTATCGGGACATTTTAGTAATTATTTTCTTTTTAGGATCTTATAGCAATTCTCCACCATGGGCTCAAAGTTAAGCCCATTAGACTTGATTTTGCAACCTTTATTCTGCTTTTCCCCGTTGCTACATGTAAAGGAGGCTGAACAAAAGAAGCATTAAACCGAAAAGAATAAATGTGCAAAGTGTTACAGGAAAAAAAAAAGTACAAAATGAAATAAAATAACCATGAAGTACTAAACGCAAGCATTAAATCCCAGTATCCAAATGAAATCAGAAAGAACCATCCGATCGAAATACAGTATGCATTAACCATCAAATACATGCATATTGAAATAGAGAATGAAGGGGAATTAAAAAGAAAAGAATATTTCGGTTTATTTGATCTATTTGATTCTAATCCAGGCCGACTGAACCAAAAAGATCAAAATTTCCTGAACCAAACCGAATAACTAAATATACCAAACCAAATAAATTAAATTTCATTAACTTCCATCTTCAGTTTCAGTTCAGTTTTGCTCACTCCTATAAACGAGGAAGCAAATGTGACATTAATCTTGTTTAGTTAAGCTCAAATAGATGCTTAAAAAAAAAAAGAAGTTGATGATCAGGATATTACAATCAAATTAATACTTTCTTGCCTTATTATTTAAGGAAATATTTTGCTTTATTCTTAAACACCTTTAGCTAATATTCCTAGGACTATTGGGCACTATGAACACCAATTAGATTGCACTAATTTGATGTGCTTATTCGATTTTGATATCTCTATTTAAGTGGAAGAGAGAAAAACTTAGAGACAATTATTATGTTATCCAATATGTGTGTGTGTGTGTGTGTGTGTGTAGAAGATAAGAAGATAAAATGAACATCAACTTTCCATTCTTGGGTGCGAGGCTCTCGTAACCATGAATTGCCAACTAACTCTTTATGGTTCAATGCCTAATCCCTACATGTGTTCTGCTCCATCCATATTGGATCTTACTTCTATGTCTTATTGTCTGTCTCTCTTCTTTTTCTTGTTCCTTAAAGCCACCAATCCTGTCTTTTGAGCCTTCATCTCTGTGTTTTGTATTTTGATATCTTAAAAGTTATAGAATCTCAAGCCGACATTAGCATGTTTTCTTGGACGTCCCTCACAAGATTTCGGCATTCTTTTCATCGAGTCCTTTCTATTCGACCTTCTACTGGTGTTAGGGTCTTTTCCGGCCAATCACAACCCTCCACATTGTCATCGTCAACCTTAACCTCCACCACCACCTCCGCCGGAGGATTAAAAAATGGTGATAAAACGGACTTTGACAAGTTTGTAACGTCGGTTTCGGGACTTGCGGTGGTTAGCTCTGCCTTAGGGTTTTGGTATTTTTATAATTCTTTGGGTGAGGATTCTGTTCAGGCATTCGCTGATTATGCAAGGGATGAGAATCAGCTTCAGCAACAGTATGAACCTCAGGCAAAATCCTCCTTCCTCTTCAATGGTATAATATGCTCACATATATATGATTTTCTTTTTAATCTCACATTCTGATGTTTAATGTAAGAATGTAAAAAATTTGAATTTAATAAAATCTTGAGATAAAATTTATTTCCCTAATTATTGTAATTTCTAAGATCAGAAGAAATTGCATTTTTTGAGATCACTCAGACAAGGATATATGTATGTGTGTAAAATAGTCTCAATTGAAGCACAATATCACAAGCTCAAAAGGAAGAAAAATAAAAGAGGAGAAATTGCAATAAAGACTGTGAAAATTGCAAAACCTCAAATTAGGAATCATGACAACACTTTAACTGGTTTTAACAAGAACTGATTTGCAAATAACAACAATTTTTGTGAGAATTCCTAATGTGGGATTTTGCAATATCCAGAGTCTTTTTTTTGCAATTTTCCCAAAAAGAAAATCTGAATATTATAGAGTGAAGGGAATAAATTCTGAACATGAAGATATTTGCAGGAATTGCTCGAGTTGCAAAATATTTTTTTTATTAATTTATATGCATATATATATATATATATATATATATATATAAACTACTCATATTTCTAGTGTGTTTTTATTTTTTTGGCTCCAGAAAGCTTTAGGAGAAGAGTATTTTTCAAATACGAAAAACGGATTCGCTTGCAAAGCCCCCCTGAAAAGGTAATCAATCTTATTAATGGATGCTGGACACAAATTAATAAAAGCAGTCATATTAATTAATTTAGAATTTCCTTCCTTAGACTCAATTTATCTCACACATGTTAAATACTACCTCCGGTCCTTAATATAAGACCCCGTTTGACTTTTTGTTTAGTCCTAATTATAAGACCCCAATCCATTTTGTCTCTTATATTTATGCATGTTTTTCCAAGATAATCCTTCTAATAATAATAGTTCTAGCCGATATACTTAATTAGCAAGGATATTTTAGGAATGACAACACTTATTTATTACAAATAACTAACTTAACTTACTTCCTTAATCTCCTCAAATAAGTCAACTGGGTCTTATAATTAGGACCGGAGGTAGTACTAGTTAATGATTTTGATAGTGGCTGCCATTGCTGATTGTGGTATATCAATAAAAAAAAACATTGTCAATACAGCATGAAAGTTTATTTTCAAAAAAAAAAAAAACTATACCTCAAATCGAATATAAACATATTAGATATATTAAATAATTCACTTTTTATCCCAAAAAAATTCATTTTTTATCAATATTAGCATTATTTTTTTAAAATAAAAAAATGAGTGAATAATAAATCTACAGTAAAATCTTTTCTGAAATATTATAATAAAAATTACTATAAGAAAAAAACTGCTCTAGGATTCTGTCAAAGTGCAAAATCCTCTAGGTAGAGACGGGGGCAAGAAACGCATGGAGAGTATGGCAACTGGAGAAGAAACAAGTTTGCTTACGTATCCATAACACATGCCACGTCAGAGAAGTCATATTCTGATAAAAATTTGAGAGTTTGCTGAAGTAGTTTCAGTGATTATGAGGTTACCATGTATGTTCACAAGCGCAGGTTTTTGAGTACTTTGCATCAGTGAGAACAGCAGGAAGCCGTGAGGCATTTATGACACCGGCGGATTTGATGCGAGCGGTTGTGCCGGTGTTTCCGCCATCAGGATCATCTCGTGTGAGAGAAGGTTATCTCCCAGGAGAGAAGCATCCTGGTGAACTCAGTTGTCCTCCTTCTCAGTTCTTCATGCTTTTTGACACTAACAATGATGGTCTCATTTCTTTTCCAGAGTGAGTCTCCCTTCTTCCTTGTTTCTTTCTCCCTTTTTTAACCTGCTCATCACATTATACTCTCAAGTGTCTAGCTCCATGTGGAACAAACACCGTACATAATATGACTCATAGTTCAATCCTTGATGAGTTCAGAGCTGAAGTGCTGACCTGTTTTCCCATCACGCCAGGTACATCTTCTTTGTTACTCTCCTGAGCATCCCAGAGTCTGGCTTTCAAGTGGCATTTAAAATGTTTGATCTTGACAATAACGGGTAGGTCTAAATCTTCCTCCTTCAGAGAAAGGAAATCCAATAAAAGCTTTAGTTTTCTGTTTCAATCTGCACGTCTGCATTGAGCTTCAGCATATTGTACCCTCACTATGCATCTACATTATTCATACATATGGCGATATATTAAGAAACAGATACAGAGAGTGATTTGTACGTTATTTGAGGAGTCAGATAATGTTGAATAGTCACTTGGTCTATCCATATATGATGATGAGAAAACCAATTTAATGTTTGTCTTCAATTACGTTTGAACAACGGGAATTCTCGAGTTTCATATAAACATCCTTCTTTCGGTAACATCGCCTCACTTTCTTCAAGTGGTTAAACTATTAACTGAAGCATACTTTTATGCATAAGTTCACATAACAACAATTAAAATTGAGTTGTGTTATACGCTAAAGATTCAACTTCCACTGCTATTTATTGAGAAAGGTAAAAGAAAGAGAGAATACTCTTTCTACTCTGCCTATAAACAAATGTGTTTTAATAAAAATTATAAGAGTTTTTCATGGCACTAAGTTACAAAACCATTAGTGTCTATAGACAAATGCTAAAAGGGTAGCAGAAATACATCAAGAATGTTTGGTGATTCAGTTTTTCATGAATTTGTAATTGGGTGAATGTATAAATCTTGCGCACGCAGGCATATAGACAAGCAAGAATTCAACAAAGTGATGACCTTGATGCGAAGCCAGCACAGACAAGGGGATGTAACTGTTGTAGAAGATGGGGGTCTCTTCCAGTATTTTTTTGGCAAAGACGGAAAGGATTGTTTAAATATTGAGAAATTTGGCCAATTCTTGAGAGACCTACATGATGAGGTATGCGTAGGATCAAACTATACAAGATATCAGTGCATGCCAAAGGGTTGTCTTGGGGGAATATCAAAGAGAGGGTGTTTTTATACCTTTGTACATACGCTCCCTTGTAATTTCCAACCTTCATGTCATGAGATGAATAACTCTGGTTCCATCAGTATCACTGCAATGTGATAATGTGACTTGCAGATATTGCGGTTAGAGTTCTCCCATTATGACTACAACGAAAGAGGAGCATTTCAGCCAGAGATTCGGGCTCTCCTTGGTT